AGCTGAACTATTGATGTTGACAGATTCCAACAGCTCAGCCAATTATCATTAGCAAAATGACGACTCTCTTGAGGAAAGTCACGAATGTCATCTTCAGTGAGACCATTAACGTTTAATCCAGGAATGTAAAAAGCAATTCCGATGTAGAGCATTCTGTAAGATAAAGCAGGAAAGTTTCAAACACTGAAATGCTTGAAAAATAAAAAGGACCATGTAATTTCTAGAGACTCGTTTTTCTTTTTGTTTTAACAACTTCAGTATCCATAAATTCAGCAAGAAAAAATAAAGTCCTGCTTCAAGATCTGCTTTTTCGCCTTTTGAAATCACAACAGGAAGTCTCACAAATTCTTGTTTCTGTATTTCAGTTGGTTTTGAAGATTCCGGAGTCCAGATGCAAAATCAAGATTTGGTCTCATGTGGTGAAAAAAATTCCGATAAAGAATTATACTTAAAAAAGAAAAATTTTCATCTAGAGCTCCAAAATTATTTTAAAATAAAAGTAATATTCCTGAAATTTTGCAAAACTTGCCATTGAAACGCAGATACGATTCTTCCTCTAAGTTTTCATCTGTCGTAATACCAACATCACTCAAACGGAGCACGTTTTCGATTTCCGCATCAAAACCACCTGAAAAGGGCAATGAATAAGGACATTCCAAAAAAAAATGCTCAAATTTTACCTGTCCAAAGAAAAACGAATGAAGAAATCTTATGCATATCACCCTGACAGATACCTATCTGTCATTAAGTATAAAAAAAAAGTATTAAATATCAAAACAATAAAATCAAAATTTGGAGCATTCATAAACTATAAGAAAAAAAATGATTCGTAATATCTACTCTCGAGTTATTTCGTGATTTTTCGACTTATTTATATCGTGAATACTGAAAACAAAACATTTACCGGGCATAAAAGGAATGTTGCTTGCAGAACCCATAAAACTTGAAGCGCTTTTTGGATCTGGAGACCTAAAGATCATTGAATAACAACCAAATTCGCAAACATAAATGTTTGTCTCTCCCTCCTTTCTTATCTCTTCACTTTTTATCAAAATTCTCTTCTTTCTTCTTTACCCTAAAGAAATTCTTTAATGCTCATATTCAAGGGTCCATTAGGATGCAGTGCTTAGTATATCAGTAATCACTGTCTCGATTACTAGTGCACTTTGAAAATATTATAAGCCACAAAACTGAAAAAAAAAGATTTGTTAGGCTGTTCTTTATAATCTGCTTCATCAATAAATGAAAAAAAAATAAACTTCACGACCTCGATTTGTAAAAGATCATCATCTCTGGCAAATAAGGCCAAAGT